GCCTCCCAAGTAGCTGGGACCACAGGCGCCCGCCACAATGTCTGGCCATTTTTTGGTTGCAGCCGTCATTGTTGTTTGGCGGGTCCGGGCTGGGGATTCGAACCCACCACCTTAGGTGGCGCCTTAGCCAGTTGAGCTATAGGTGCTGAGCCCAGAACTGATTTTTCAAGCATAATGCAGGCCGTGCGGCAAATGCTATCAGAAACACATGCCAACCAGCACTTAGTACAGTTGGTACACTTTCTCAAAAAGACATGGAAAACTGAAGTTGAGAAACCACCCTGAGAACAGTTGTTTTTATTTTCTATTTTGAATGTCATAGATTTGAAGAAGGAAAAAACCAGAGAGGAAATTCAACCAAATGTAAATAGTGGTTATCACTAGATGACAGGGATGACTTTTATAGTTTTACTAGTATATTTATTTATTTTTTATCTGTATTACATTTTCCAAGTTTTTATATATTAAAAATATATTACTTTCCTTTTTAATTACAAGGTTTCTTTTAAACACTCCTACACTACCGGTGGGAATGTAAACTAATACAAAGTTTGTTTTAAACAAAAATGGACAAGATCAACTATTCAACTGTAGCTATGGGACGCTCTAAGATAATATCTGTAGAAATGTGTGTTCCCCAGTAGACTTCGGACCCTCATGAATGAGACCTTATTATTCCTTGGATCTCTTAGCATCTAGCACAGGGCCTAAAATATTAGCTATAATTTTTTTTTAATCTTTTATTTTAACAGCTGGAGGGGGCACAAGTTAAATTCTGTTTCGTGTATGTATTATGTAATGGTGAATGATTCTAAATACAGCCAAAAACCCAAACAAGGTGATATATCTTGATATATCTTCAGGATGGTAAAAAGTAGCTAGGCCCTCCTACTAGCATCAAATCAGGACTTGCCTAAGCAGCCACCTTCCATGAATGGTCCCCTTGTTGGGGATATGCTGATCACCTGTAAGATGCATTAGCCCACACTACAGCCAAATGCACCTTGCTGTTAAAATTTTCCAGTAAGTCCTCTGAACTCTCTTACGTAGCTCCCTTCCTTTTATTCCTCCCTTCCTCAATTGCCTACTGAATTGAGCCAGGCCGTTCTGCCTGAATCTTGTTCTGAAGGAGGCTATAGAAAATACCACTTTCACATTCCCCTTGTATTTCTCCTAGGGATGCCCAGTCCACTCCAACACTTTAAAAGAACACATGAGAAAAGTTTGTGTCAGGGCAGCACCTATGGCTCAGTGAATAGGGCGCCAGCCCCATATACCAAGGGTGGCAGGTTTGAACGTGGTGGTGGCCAAACTACAACCAAAAAAAAAAAAACAGCCCGGAGTTGTAGCAGGCGCCTGTAGTCCCAGCTACTCGGGAGGCTAAGGCAAAAGAATCACCTAAGCCCAAGAGCTGGAGGTTGCTGTGAGCTGTGATGTCATAGCACTCTACTGAGGGCGCCAAAGTGAGAAAGATTCTGTCTCAAAAAAAAATTGTGTCAGATCTCAATGCCATTAGAATAACTACTTCTCAGAGCAAATAACACATTTTAATTGTATGAGCACCAGGAATCTTGTCACTGATCTTTTTTCTGTCTGCTTAAAGCTGAGAGGTGAATCTACAGCCCTCCTTTAGTAACTCTGTTGGAACTTAGGACATACATGTCTGCAAGCTAACTTTTCCTCTCGTTTCCTCTTATTATTCTTCCTTCCCTCTATATGACTTTGCACTCCCCTCTCCCTCTCTCTCTCTCTCTGTCAGATAATTTGTATTTTTAGAAGTCCCTTTGGGATGAGCCAGGGTATAAACAAAGAAACCAAAAATTAAATAACCCCCTCCCCCAATTCCGACCTTGCCTAGGACACATTTGCCCATGTTAGCTTGCCTGTAGGACAGGAAACTAAAATGCAGAACCACCCTAACTTACTGCTACCAACCAGGGAGTAACCTTTATATGCATTCGGACAAGTCTGACTGAGAACCTGAGGCCTCTTCCTTCCCACTTCCTGCCCACCAGCTGGAAAATACACATGACTACCAATGTGAATGGTGTACTGTACCTTAAGACATTAAGGCACAATAGCATAACAGTTAAGAGCACAGAGCTGAAGGGAAACTATGGTTCTAATCCTGCCCTACTGCCAGCTGCTGACTTTAGACAAGTCTACCAACCATTCATTTCCCCACCTGTGCAATGGGAACAGTAACAGTATCGAACTTATAAGATTGTTGGGAGGAGCAAATACCTTAATACATGTAAAAGTGGCTAGACCAGTGTCTCATACACATTGAGAGCCAGCACTGTAAGAGGGCACTTCTGTTTTCAATTAAACCCACCCCCACAAAGTTTCAAGCCTGACTGACATAATATTTCTCATTGTAAATTACTATACCTACAAACCAATTTCTATGGTGACTTTAATTGTGCTTGGATCTGGCTCGGCACCTGTAGCACAGTGGTTACAGCGCCAGCCACATATGCCAAAGCTGACAAGTTCAAACCCAGCCCAGGCCAGCTAGAACAACAATGGCAACTGTAACAAAAAATAGCCAGACGTGTGGCAGGTGCCTGTAGTCCCAGCTACCAGGGAGAATGAGGCAAGAAAACTGCTTAAGCCCAAGAGTTTGAGGTTGCTGTAACCTGTGACGCCACAGCACTCTACCAAGGGAGACATAGTGAGATTCTGCCTTAAAAAAAAAAAAAAAAAAAAATTGTGCTTGGATCTCATTTATAAATTCAGACGGAGTTAAAGTTCTCTCTAAACTACAGTCATGTTAACCACGTGCTTTCTTATTTACTGAAGAAGAGGCAAAAGCAATGACATCAGACAACAAAAATGGTTCCTGGGAGTATAACCCCAACTGGTAACAGGATGATCTCTAAACCACACCCAAGTGTGCATGAATACACATGTACACATACACTCCTACCTGTGTGTGTGTGTGCATCATACACACCCCTGTCAATGTCCCTCCAGATGCAACACAGACATCATTCAATGTCTGGAGAGATAAACCTCATAAATGTTTCTCAGGCATTCCTTAAAATAAGGTACTTTTTTCTGCTTGAGCACAAAAAAAAAGGGAAAAAAAAGATAATTTCTTTAGCTATCTAAGAGCAACTCTCCTTTGTTAGGTACCTGAAGTCCTTATTTACACCAGAATTTAGAAAGCTGTACCTCATCCATAGCACAATGCAAATTTCTCATCAAATTCCATACCTAATGCAGTGCAGAGCTCAACTAGAGGTATGCCCATCTCTGCCCAAGGCAGAGCCAGACTCTGCTACTTCTTTCACACCCATCCCAACAAGATTTAAGTGAACATCTATTCTACACATGTGAAGTATGTAATAATTTTCAAATAAAAGAACTCGATACTGCCACTGTATGACTGCAAAGAAAGAAAGTGGATAGTTTCAAAGCTGCAGTGCTCGAGCAAAGTTTAGGAAAATTAATCACTGAAATTCATCTCTTGCAACGAAACTTACTTAAAAATTCGATGCACATGAATTAAGTTTAAGCCTTTGCTTTCCTGAAATTACACGAGTTTGGAAGAAAAAGCCCGAGAGTACATCAGAGCCATTTATCTTCCATTTCCTAGGTTTCCCTTAATTACCTACCCAAACGATGCGCCTAAGAGTTTGTTACCGTATTGAATTGGAAATTCGTCAGTATCTTGTAAATTCCCTGGTTTCTCCATGTCTCAGAAAATAATCTTAAGAACAGAATCGAAAATGAACAAGGACTCTCGGCCAAGAAAACACCTTTGAGGAATTCAGTAATCTCGCCCCTCTCCGGTTTAGCACACCGAAGTCTTCGGGAGAGCGGAGGCAAAGAATATACTCTGCACAATAAAATGACACTTCTGAGTAGTAATAGCCGAGATTACTTTGCCGCATCCCAGCTCTTCCCACCAGGAACACGAGTGCAGAGTTTTCTAAATGGTCTTCCCCAGATCCGGAGGTCAATTTCAAACTCTGCCCCTCTCCCAGCTCCCGAAGCAGCCTCGCTCACCCACCCCACCCTGCAAGCAGCGTACTTCCCGTTCGCTCCGGACGGTCAAGAACTCCAACTTGACAGTGACACACTGAGAAAAGAGGAAGTGGCTAAAGGCCATTCCAAGACACATTTATTTATTTATTTTCTCAAAAGAAATCAATGGTCTTGTCTTTCCGGAAAACTTCAATGGGACGTTACCATCACACCCTCTGGAAAGTTGCAGCGAATGACAATGTGGCAAAACCGAGGGCGACTGCTCTTTTAAAATACATATTTTTAAAATTCTCGAAATCCTCTCACCATCAAAAGCTATCCCTCCCCTGTGGCGAACGCAACAAAGCTAAGAGCGCCCATCCCGGTGGGTCCGATCTCGGACGTGAGGCTCCGGGCCGGGTACGTGCCCGATCCGCCCAGCCAAGTGGCAGAGGAAACGCGGAGCAGAGCGCGGCGAGCGCCTCCTTTACCTGGTTTGACCGGTTTGGGTGGTGGCTTCGACATCTCGCTTCCTTGAGCGGCTAATCCTAAAGACCGCACCGAAAAGCCAACCGATAGCTCCGTCAGCCGGCACTTCAAGCACCCCAAAGTTTCTTTTTGTCTGGTTTGCAGTTGTGCGCCCTCAAGGACCTACACCCACTCTCAGATGCCGGACGCAGGCAGAGCCGCCCGGCAGAGTGCCCCGCCCCGTCCCGCGGCCGTCGGAGCCGCCCCGAGCGCGCGCCGGGAGGACTAGGAAGTGGACGCCGCCTCGCCGAGCGCTAATTGGCTCCCGGGCTGGCAGCTTCGCCGCGGCCGGGGCGCGGGCGGCGCGCACGGCGGCGGAACCAGCCGGAGTTGAGCTAGGGCGGCGCGGGTACGCGCCAGGGCCGGCCATGCCGCGCGCGTCCCCGACGGGAAAAGGCCGGAGCCGTGCAGGGGCGCGCGCTCGAGGCCAAGCCTGAGGGAGCCCCGCCTCGCCGCGCCCCGCCCCAACGAGGGCTGGCGTCCGGGTTGGCGTCCGGCCGGAGAGGGAAGGAACCTCTGGTAGCCACGTCTACCTGGCCGCCTTCTGACCTAGGAGGGGCGTCGGGGAAAGGGCTGTGAGCCTCTAGGTTAGCGGGCAGCGGGTTGTGGCGGGTTAGCTCCAGGCGCGCGCTTGGCCGTCGCCTCTGCCGCCTTGCTCGGGAGGACTGGAACTGGCGCCGGGTGAGTACCTGCCTGCCCCCGCCGCGCCGCCTCGCTGGGACCTGGAGGTGTTTCCAGAGTGTTCTTCCTGGAACCTGGTTGTGTCTTGAAAGCACTGTTGGGACTCTTTCCGCCCTAGCCGAGCTGACATACGTGGCCTGCGCAGGAGGACGTATTCTCACGGTGGCGTAGGGCTTAAATGCCCCATAATCATCCTTTAAAACGGGACTGCGAGGTTAACAGGGCCAGGATCAGGTCGTGACTGTCTATCAACGGGACAGATAGTCTCATACCTCTAACACTGGAGTAGATACACTACGGCCTGCTAAGAATATTTTTTACATTTTTTAAAGGCTGGAAAAGAATCAACAGAAGAATAGTATTTTGTGGTACCTGAAATTATATGGAATTTAGATTTTCGTTGTCCATAAAGTTTTATTGGAACACAGTCACGTTCATTTGTTTATGTCTGTGGCCCCTTTGTATTACTACCACACGGATGAGTAGCAGCTCATAGCCTAAAACATTCACTATTTAGCTCTTTGCAGAAAAAAAAAAAATTGCCAGCTACTGTCTTCGCTGATTGAATCTCCTGTAGGAGGCAAGATCCGGAAGGCAGTGGTGTAAATTTGAAATAGCATAGCCAGTATTGCAAACCGGTTGTGTATTTGGGGAAAGAAAATTAAAAAGAAATAACCATTTGCATAAGAGCCTACATGAAATGAAACTTAAGAGTTTCTACCAGGCAAAGATGACAGTGATTCCAACAGCGGAGGGGCGTGTTAAGTTTTATTTTCAGTCTTAGGAGATTTATGTGTACCAAAAGGGATCAAAGTAAGTGAGAAGTCCTGAAAGACGTTTTACCCTTTTTCACATGTCAGACTGACCTTCACAGCACATTTGAAAAGCACAACACTTTGATCCTCTTTCAGACCATTTGCATTAGGGAGTTACTATCTTCTGAAAGGCGTTTTACTCTTTTTCACATGTCAGACTGCCCTTCACAGCACATTTGAAAAACACGGCACTTTGTCCTCTTTCAGACCATTTGCGTTAGGGTGTTGCTATTTTCTTACAATGTACTAATTCTGCATTTGTCTCTTGACTTCATTGTGCAGTTCAGAAGCCTGAACATACCCTGTTGAATAGTGAAATTGATTAAACACAGTAGGCACATAAAAATGATGAAAAAAACTAAACAACATTTTATTTAGGTTAAAAAATATGTAGCCAGGCGCGGTGAACCGGCCCAGGAGAGGTCAGAAATGGAGCAGGTCAAAGTTCCTGTGCTGATCAGTAGTGGGATCACACCTGTGAATAGCCACTGCACTCCAGCCTGGGCAACATAGTGAGACCCTGTCTCTAAAATAAAATAAAATAAAAATATGTAATAAATAAAACGTAGTCATTTGGGGTTTCTTCTTGACAATCCTACTCTGTTCTCCTTCCACTGTGCAAATGTTCTCTGCTGTCCAGGAAAGCTTTGTAGACATTGGGAAGATAAACTACATAAGTATTCCTTGAGATTGAAGGTGGATGTGTTCCTAGTGATAGGATGCCTTGAAATGATGAGGCTAGAAAGTTTAAAGGAGACATCAAATGATTTGCAGCTTGTAGTTGTGATTGCTTCCTGAAGTCTGCTGCTGCACATACATTTAGAATCTGGCAACTCTGGATTGCAAGCTTTAAAATTTGATTCTTTTTTTTTTTTTGAGATAGTCTCAAGCTGTCCCCCTGGGTAGAGTGCCATGGCGTCATAGCCCACAGCAACTTCCAAGTCTTGGGCTCAAGTGAGCCTCTTGCCTCAGTTTTTTTTTTTTTTTTTTCTATTTTTAGTAAAGAAGAGGTCTTGCTTTTGTCAGGCTTGTTTCGAACTCCTCAGCTCAAGCAATGCACCCTCTTCAGCCTCCCAGAGTGCTAGGATTACAGACATGAGCCACTATGCCCGGCCTTTTTTAATAGTTCTTTTTTTTTTTTCCCCTTGGAATAGTCTCACTCTGTTTCCCAGGTAGAGTGCCATGGCATCTAGCCTAGCTCACAGCAACCTCACACTCCTGGCTTCAGATGATCCTCCTGCCTCAGCCTCCCAAGTACCTGAGGCTACAGATGCCCACCACAACACCCAACTAATTTTTTTAGTAGAAACAGGGTCTCACTCTTGCTCAGTCTGGTCTTGAATTCCTGAGCTCATGGGATCCTCCCACCTCAGCCTCCTAGAGTGCTAGGATTAGATGTGAGCCATCACACCTGGCCTGATTTTTAGGCATTCTTAAAGAGGGCAGTAGGCAATGGAACAGTGGAACATGATGTGGAAGTAGACAACGTCATACCTGAACTTGGAGTTTACCAAAAGCTGCCCTGTGCATCAATAATGTTTTTGAAATAAATGGCTTCATGGATTGCTGGGCCCACCCCTAGTTCCACCCTAAACACTGAGCCTAGCCACCTGTCTTGTTTCTGCATGTCCCAGTTTCCCAACCCTACCATCACATTGTCACCTGCTCGGCTAATGGTGCGTGCCCAACATATACCCAAACTCTGCCATGAACAAGCCCAGACTGCTAACTGGTGTAGAGCTGAGGGTTCCTGTTTTGATTATGGGATTTCCCTCCCCTACCCAAGGGATTTTATAAGTAGGTTTATTCCATCCCACTCCAAGTGTCTGAATTGCTAAAGTTTCCACGAAAATAACTCCCTCAAGTTTATTTCTGGTACCACAGCCATGCTCACTTGTTATTTACCCGCTGTGTAATTGATACAGAAGCCACACATGCATGCACAAATGTGGCAATTAGAACAGGGCCTGGTAGTCCTTTGTACTTCGTGTACACAGCAAATATATTGCCCTATCAATAATAAATCAGTCAGAATGATGTCAATTGTATATCAGGGCCTGACAGTGAAGCTAACACATGTTCAACATTCTTCTTTGCTCTTAGTAATAAAGTGCCTTTAAGCAGCTTGGAGTGATGGAAAGAAGTTAATTGATTTGGTTTCATTTCTGGCTTTTTCTTTACTAGCTGTGTGACTGGTCTTTAAATTTGATTTTTTTTTCTTTTTTATTGAATGGTAACTATGTACATTAATGCACTTCTGTACAATGTGGTGTTTTCACACACAATCCGAAACACTTCCATCAAACTGGTTAACATAGCCTTCATGTCATTTTCTTAGTTATTGTGTTAAAACATTCATATTCTACTTAGAAAGATTCACTTGTACCCTTGTAGATAAACCTCAGAAGTGATCCCTCCAATCCTTCTCCCTCTACCCATTCCCCCTCCCCTCTCCCTCCCCCCTTCCCATATTCTTAGGCTATTATTAGGTTATAGCTTTCATATAAAAGGTTTAAATTAATTTCATAATAGGGGTGTGTACATTGGATACTTTTTCTTCCATTCTTGTGATACTTTGCTAAGAAGAACATTTTCCAGCTCCATCCATGTGAACATGAAG